ACAAACAAAACTGAAGTTTTTCGATCTTCAAATCGCCGTAGCGTCCTTGTCATGACTCCAAATCAGCTGAAACTTTGCAGGAGGAATGAAAATGCCATGCTGAATCGATTGGTACCATTTTCGAAGGGTTTCCTTGAAAAATAAAATTTAGCCTGCACTGGCTAGTACAGGGGAATAGCACGATTCCACAACATGAGCAACAGAGAGAGAGAGAGAGAGAGAGAGAGAGAGAGAGAGAGAGAGAGAGAGAGAGAGAGAGAGAGAGAGAGAGAGAGAGAGAGAGAGAGAGAGAGAGAGAGAGAGAGAGAGAGAGAGAGAGAGAGAGAGAGAGAGAGTATGTGTGTGTGTGTGTGTGCTCAAAGTGCGCGCGTTACACAATGCACCAACAGGCACTGAACTCACAAAAAGAGGAATCGTGTACGCGCGCTCAGGGATTTCCATCAAGCGACTGATGTGAACACGCTCGCTATTGCCATAGTCCAGAAAACGAAGGAGAACCTGCCAGAAACAAAACCATCACCAGAGGTAAGAAAAAAACAATGCTGTACTAGTACTCCAGAGTGCATCATCTGACATCGCCATTGTGTGTATCAACATGACCATGCATCACTCGGCCTGCACATGTATGTAGCACAGCAAGTGTATCCTTCCATCCCGGTGCCCAGGTCTAACAGATTCTTGCCAGCACAGAGAGAACTGGAATGATAGGATGCTGCCATCACTCTGAGCCGAAATGCCCCAGGCACAAGCAAACGCATCATCATCATCATTGAGGAAGCATCTCCAAGGCAAATGCTCCTTATCTTCTTCTAAAATATTCACATACTAACTGAGAAAGGATAATGGAAGACAATCATGCAGCCCTAACGCTAGATAAGTTGACAGGAACACATTTAGACAGAAGCGTACCTCCTGTTCTTCCTGAAAAACCGCTTCAATCAGGCCACGGTACCAACGGTCGTCCACTGAGTAGCGAGCCAAGCAGTAGTTGCCTTCGACTGCACTGTCCTGAGCGATCGGCGTCGCAGTCACGTCTGCAGCACTGGTACCCCCACCACCAGCCAGAGTGCGACGTATGACATTGTATCAGCACGGAGGGACAAATACCACACACGCGCACACGAGCACATATACACACGAACACAGGCACACACACACACACACACACACACACACACACACGCACACACACACGCACACACGCACACACACACAAGTCAAACTATTCTGTTGTAAATATGTAGCATTCAAAAGCAGCAGAAACTTCAGGCTCTTCAACAACATGGCTTTCACAAGTAAACTTCCGCGCCTTCTTTTCAGGTGATATAAAGGCAAGAGCAAACGAGAGCAAGAACAATGAATTATGTAATCGTAAAGATGTAAAGATAAATCGGCAGACAGGGAGGCAGACACAGTACTGTACAGTTTCTGCTGAACTTGTCCACGGTTAAGGCCAGCAACTACTAGGAGATGCAGCAACTTTTGGTCAAAAGCAAAGTGCCAGCATGCAGTTCTTGTTTTCCTAGTAGGCCGCAATCACTAGTACTCTGGCACAGGCTGGAGAATGCCATGTACGGGACAGACGAAATTAATACACTACAGTGCTGCTCAATGAAATCCAGTCGCGTCACTCAAGTTTGCGCCTTGCACCTTTCCGCAGCCCAGCGTTCGCAGGTCTCCGGCTGCGCAACGCGCGGTGCGTACTTGAGGGACGCGACTCGATTTCATCGAGCAGGACTGTGCTTGCCAGGCTCTGTGCAGTATACACATGTGAGTAACATGCCTCTGTGCAGTTACACATGTGAGTAGCATGCCTCTGTGCAGTATACACATGTGAGTAGCATGCCTCTGTGCAGTATACACATGTGAGTAGCATGCCTCTGTGCAGTATACACATGTGAGTAGCATGCCTCTGTGCAGTATACACATGTGAGTAACATGCCTCTGTGCAGTATACACATGTGAGTAGCATGCCTCTGTGCAGTTACACATGTGAGTAACATGCCTCTGTGCAGTATACACATGTGAGTAGCATGCCTCTGTGCAGTATACACATGTGAGTAGCATGCCTCTGTGCAGTATACACATGTGAGTAGCATGCCTCTGCTGAAGACATAGTGTCACATTCTAGTTCGTGCTCGTTTGCACAGAAATATAAATGCTCGGGTTTATGGTGACAGGGTGACTTGCAGGGTGACTTAAGCCCACGGTTTCAAGCAATGCAGGTGCAGCTTTGACAGCGGAATAAACACGGTACGTGAAGCTTCACCTGGTCCGGGGTGTCAGTCTACGTAAGTCAGAGTAGAAGCTGAAAGAGTGAACAGTGCAGACGACTTACTTTAGGTCTTCCATCATGGTGACAAAGTCGTCACTCTCTTCCAGCTCGGTCAACTGTGGCCAGAAATAGCCACGCTCATCGACACCGTGTTCGATTGTGACGTTCAGACTGGCACCTACGTAGAACACAACCAGAAGACACATCCACAACAATACTGCTGTT